ATATATATATATGTATATATGTGTGTTAAATATTTACTTTTTTAAGTCAAATATTTGAAAAAAATTTCAGTGAATATCTTTTTTTAATCTCTAGCTGGGGAATGAATACCTTCTTCAAGATGACACTGAAACCACAAAGCAGAGTTTTTCACATAATCATTATAAATTCTGCACAAAACTTAATGCATTAGCACATGGTGGGGTGGGATTTACCTTACATAACTGAAAGGACCCGTGTTCTTAATATGTAAATCAACACGCAAAAGACGAATAAGCAAACTAAAAATGGTTCAAGGCTATGGAAGACTATATATGAACACAGCAAGAATGGTGATGTCCACACCTGCACCTTGCAGGATGGTCTGAAGTCGTTTTTAACAGTGAGTTCTAATTTCATTCATGGACAGGAAACTTTTAAAAGCTCCTTCCACTTTGGAAAAATAGTCGTTGAACCAACACGAGTGCCTGGTTTTTATGCCAAGAATGGTTCTAGGCCCTGGGGGTTTGCAGTGAATGTGATAAAAATCCCACTACTTGTGAAGCTGACATTGTACTGGGGGAGAAGGACCACAAGATAATGGAGGTTGATGGTAAGTTGTGTAGGAAAACAAAGGTGGGATGAGAGACAATAACCAGTGGGGTGCAGGGCCTTCAGGCAGGAAGTCTTAATTTGCATTTTCCTGTCGTGCTTTTGCCCATCCTTTTATCTGAAACCTTGTGGAACCTCTGTTTTAGGCATGCCTCTTTTGTGTATCATAGAATTGGATTTTGCTGAAATTTGTCTTTATAGAAGATACACATTTGAGTAGATTCCTGCCAGAAAAAGAGGGCGGGAGTCCTGCATAGACCTAGGGGACAATGTTCCAGGCAGAGGACAGCGGGTGCAAGAGACTGCTGGGAGTGTGGCACGTCCCCAGACACAGTGAGGAGGCCTGTGTGTCTGGAACAGGGTGGAAGGCGATGGACGGACGGTAGCAGAGGAGGGAGACAGGGCCCCGGCTGCGTGGGGCTGTGGGCTGTGGTGAAAATGTCAGTTCATTCTGCCTGGGACGGGAAGTCGTTGGAGGGTGTCGAGCAGGGAGGGGAGTGACGTGATTTTTAGCCGCACACCCTGGCTGCTGTGCCGAGAACTGATACTTGTGGAGTGTAAGACCAACCAGGCGGCAAGTTAGAAGTTCATCACAGTAGTCCAGGTGGGCATGGCAAAATGTAGCCTGTCCCCTGAGTCTGGGATCCGGGGATACCTTGTTTAAAAAAAGATAACGTGACACAATAAAGAAAATCCTACATCAGCCGAAATAGGCACCAAACTGCAGAGTAAAGGCCTAGCAACTAGAAGTTCGTCAGGAAGAAGCCAGCCTTTGGGGTCCTGTCTGGATGTCCTGGCCCATCCCAAGTCCCTGAGAGCACGCATGGCTTAAGGAATAGAGTTTCTAGAACAAGGGTTCCCAAACCCCCGATGCCAGCCAGCTGGGCGAGCGGCAGGAAGGACTCTGGTGGTTTGTTCCTGGAGGCACCCTGAGCTGTGCACTGCTCTCTGTTTCTCTTCAGACAGAGGATAGCCTCCGAGTGCTCTTACGTCAGGAAGACATCCCCCGGGGGGAGGCCATGCGCCCCAGCCAGCTGCCCCCGAGCCCGCTGCCTCTGATGTGGCAGCTCTACCCTGGCAGACGGTACCGAGGCTCAGACTCCAGTTTCTGGCGTATAGTGTTTCACATTGAGGCAAGTGTGTGCTGCCAGGGACCCGTCGGGTCATCTTGGGTGGCCCTGATCCTCCTCCCCCGTGTCTGGCCTGTGCAGTGGATCTGTTCCCTCCTACTCTGCACCAAAATCTAAAAAAAAAAACAAAAAAACCCCACAAAGAATGGAGCGAATTTACAACTGCAGATTTTGCAAGGACTGTACTAGAAGGTAGAAATGAGTGGCCGGACTATGCTCTGAGGTCTCTAACAAGCCCCCTCAGCCGGGGAGGGCCTCTGTGGTGGGCAGCCCCTGGGTGAAGCTGGTGGGAGAGGGGCCCCTGGGATCCCCTCCATGGGTCCTGCCCGCTGCTCCAAGCTGGTGGAAGGCTAGGAGCCGGGATTGGAACGGGGATCCCACCGCCCCCGCCTCTGACCCCCTTCTCTCTGCAGTTCAGCGGTGTGGAGGACTTGCTCCTTGAGAAGCTGCCAGACCCCGAGTCCTAGTGACGTGGTAAGTGTCTTTGGGGCCCAACTCTATCCGTCCAGAGTGGCCAAGTCAGAAAGAAGGAGAATCCTTTCTCCACGAAGCAGGGCTGACCCCCACCTGACGGTGCTCCCCCTAGTGTCCTGAGGACTGGGCACCATGCTACCTCCTTTACCACCTTGGGAGCCAGTCAGTTTTTAGGGAGCCCCCTTCGTGGGGGCACGCACCTGGACAGTGCTTCACAGGTTACAGGCGCTGTCACTGGATCATCCCATCAACTGAGCGAGCTAGGGGTTACCTGATTTTATGGGTTACCTGATCTTATAGGTTACCAAACTGAGTTTGGAGGAGGTACAGCCGCTTGTCCAAGTCACAGAGCCAGGTTTCAAATCCAGATCTTCTGACACGAAACCGCTTGCTCTGTTCATAATCTCCCCTGACTCAGACCCAAGGCCTCAGCTCTGGGGACCAGCACCGACCACCAAGCTCCCCTGTGCAGACTCGCCCCAGCAGCCCCGCCCTCACCCACCCCTCACCCCCACCGGGTCCTTCCCTTTGCCTCTGACTGCCTTCTCTGCCCCTTTTCTTGTCCCCAGGTCCTGTAGCTCCTGTCTCCCTGAGCCCCTGTCCTGTTGGCCTGCGGTGGGGATGTTCGTGGTTCTGTTCACCTTTTTTTGACCTGTGTGTTCTGCTCTGCCAAACCCGGAGGGGACGGAAGGGCAGGACATGAGCCCGCCCCACGGCCTGCTGGACCTGCTGCAGTCCCCTCAGCCTCCCCCCAGCAGATAGGCACTGCGGAGCACCCAGCTCGGTACCTGGCTATACCTGTGCCTCTGGTTTTCTCAGCTGCCTGATGGTTTTCAGCCTCTGCCCTTTCTGTCCCTCCCAGCAGCTAGTGTCTTGTGCTGCACACTCAGAGGTGCTTCTCATCCTGTCACCTCAGTTCCATGTACCTCTGGCGCCAGGCAATGGGACCTACTCACCAATGAGCCCAGGCCAGGCCTCTGAGCCCCTGGACCAGCTGTCCCATGTGGCGCATGTCTGCACAAGACCATGCCTACAAAAGTCCTGCGTGCCAAGCAGGGTCAGGTGCAGTTTACAGGAAGACCTGAGAGGAGCCCCTGGTCTGTGCTCGGGATTCAGAAGCCTGCTGGACAAGGGTCCACAGCCCGTGACAAGGCAGGAAGGCAGGCAAGGAAGCACTGGGGATGGGCCCTCAGGTAGCCCCCCTGGAGGACAGAGGTTGGAGGTTCCCCCTTTTATAGGTGCCCACACACCTGGATATTATGAGGTTGTATGTTGCATGAACACTTTGTAATATTGATTGATTAAATAAGAGACAGTTCATCTAACTTTGTGCTGAACCAGCTTCTATCCGTGACCTAGACTCGAGTGTAGAGAAGCGAGAACAGGCAGTCACCAAATAAGAAAATTTGCAACGGAAAGAACACTCATGGATTTCGTGCACTTTTACTTTGGAGCTTAGCCTAGATTTTTTTCCCCCCTGTGTAATCCAAATGCTCGAGATCCCAGTGTTCTTGAAGGCATGGTTTAAAAACCACTAAAGTAAGTGACCTCAGAGTCTTGGTCAGCAGCTCCTGGTATTCCAGACCCTCTGTCTGGTCCTGCCCGCCTCACCCTCCTGCCCCAGCCAGCAGTGTCGCCCTGCTCTGGCACTCAGCAGGCTGTCCTTACATGGGTAGTTCCAATCCCACCGGGAGTTCCTCCTCCCAGAAACTGTCCCAAGCCACCAAGCCCCAACCAGAGTCCCTTCCCTACTGCCCACGAAGTGCAGTCACAGCCCAGCCCACCCTGTGCCCTGTCCGGCCTCCTTCCTTCTCAAGATCAGCTGCCTCACCGCTACCTTCTGAGCAGGTAAGTAGGACCTCAGGTTACCATGACAAAGGGATGCCTTTCAGTAAGAAGAATCTATTCTGTGTGGGATACTGGTGCTCCCCACTTCTGTGTGACTTCAGTCCACGGCTTCCGCATCACAGAAAGATGTGAGGGTAATGTGAGGGTAGGTCTAAGCTGTTAGTATCTAATAAGACAATTGTATAAGCTAGATACTGTTTCTCCTATTTTATATTCTCTGACCTCTGTCTTCCTGCTGTCATTAGGTAAGCATCGGCACCACATGTGACATGGTTTATGTCTCTTATCACTTTAACCCCATCACCTTGCAAAGTGCTTGGCAGTGTAAGAGTGTGGTCCTTGGGAGCGCTCACTAGACAGACCCCTCCTGGGGACAGCATGAGAACGTCGGAGCAGGAGGAACATCAGAGATCGGCCAGTTGCCTCATTTTAGGAAAAGGCCCAGGAAGAGGAAAGTTGTGCCCCTCCCCCAAATCATGTTAACGCCCTAACCCCCAGTGTGTGTATTGGGAGGTGGGGCCTTTGGGAAGTGATTAAGATTAGATGAGTTCATGAGCTCAGTGTCCTTATAAGAAGAGAAGGAAAGAGGGAGAGAGATCTCCCTTTCCACACAAACCCACGAGGAAAAGGCCTTGTGGACGACAGCGAGAGAAGACAGCTGTGTGCACTGCAGGAACAGGGCCCTCCGCAGACACGAAATCTGTTGGCACCTTGATTTCAAACTTCCCAGCCTCCAGAAGTGTAAGAAATAAATACCTATTGTTTAAGCCACCCAGTCTGTGGTGTTTTGTTATAGCAGCCTGAACAGACTAAGGCAGTTCCTGTGCAAAATTCTTCTGTTTATGCAACCTTTGACCACCACCATGAATTGTGCTGGGTGCTGGAGATACCGCTGTGAACAGAACACAGGCCCTGGTCACATGCAGCTCTTTCTGGGAAAAGATGAACAAGAAGCTTGCAATGTGCAAAATCCTACGAAGAAGGTAGATAGAACAAGGTAACCTGGTAGCAAGTGAGGTCGGATGATGAAAAGGTCACTGGCTGAATAAAAAAAAAAAAATTCTTGGTTCACATTTTCTTTCTTAACTATTTGGACTATGCTACTCCATTGTGCCTTAACTTAAAAATATCCTGTAAAGACCTAATGCCATATAAGTGACTTGGTCATTTTACCTTGTGCCAAAAGTGATACGGGAGAGCCCCCTCACTATACAAGTTTTAAGCTCCCTCACTATAAGAATTTTAAGTCCCTTCAATATAGAAATTTTAAGTCTCCTTTTCCCTCGTTTCTTAGCTCCTTAAGTCCCTGATCTTAATCATACTTGAATCAGTTTCTTAATCCTAAAGATTGCTCCTAGCCTAAATTACAGAATGTCTCTCACCGCTACTTAAAAACTACTCAAAAACCTGTGAGCTATAATCATTGTAGCCCAACATTCCCCAGGCCATTCCAGACCTAACTCTTGGATAAATAAATGCCATCCCAGAGACCAAATGGGTTTTAACACTCTTCCAGGCCAGTCCAGACCTAACCTCTGGGTGAAATAAGGTAATTGGGTTCCTGGAGCCAGTGCCTCTAATTTACTAACATCTTGTGTCTCCTCATCTAGGCATCGTCGGGGTACAAATTATGTCCCAGCGAGGCACCCCAACCAAGGCAGATATGAGACCCCCTCCTTTTATTTAAGAACAGATAGGGTGAGAGTTTTGTGAATCCCCAGGTAGGTAGGGACAGCTCTACCCCACTTCTCAGCTTGAAGCAGATACAGAAAAAAAGAGACCTGTCCCTCAGCTCCCCACAGAGATTTATGGGGATCAGGTCTCTCAGGAGAAATGAGGCACGCAATTAGAAACAGGTAATTGGGTCTCTGCATTCCTGCACGGCCAACACAATCTATGGGGAGCACCGCCTGGAGACCTCCCAAATTCTTCCCTTACCTGCCCTAAGCATTAACCACTGGTAGAGGCCACCACGACCTCCATCTCACTCTAGCCTCATTATACCATCATTATAATATCATACAGATGCCCAGAAGTTTATTAATATCACGGTAACAGACTGAACTCTGGGAAGGGACATGCACAGTCTAAGAGAATGAGATAAAAGCTCCGTTATCAATCACAGGTGTCAATCTAGCAGCCCCATGCCCTGAGGGGAACAGCCTACCCCAGAGGGAAAAAGAGAAAACCCCCAGGCTCCTGTAAGCAGC